CCCAACGCGCCCCGCCTCCCCGACACCACCTCCTCCCTGGTCGGCCCGCGCCTCAGCCTCCACAACCGCGTGCAGGCCCTCATCCGCTCCGGCGACCTCGACGGCGCCGCCGCCGCCTCCCGCGCGGCCGTGTCCTCGCGCGTCCGCCCCACCGTCTTCACCTGCAACGCGGTCGCCGCCTCCATGGTCCGCGCCGGCCGGCCCGACGACGCCGTCGCCCTCTTCGCCTTCTTCTTCCGCCGCTCCAACATCGTCCCCAACGTCGTCTCCTACAACACCCTCATCCTCGCCCACTGCGACGCCGCCCGCGTTGACGAAGCGCTCCAGGCATACCAGGAGATGCTCGACGGCGTCACCTCCTTCTCCCCCTCCGCGGTCTCCTACCGCCACCTCACCAAGGGCCTCGTCGCCGCCGGCCGCGTCCAGGACGCCCTCGACCTCCTCCGTGACATGCTCAACCGCGGCCAGGGCGCCGACTCCATCGTCTACAAGAACCTCATCGACGGCTACGTCGCCCTCGACGACTGGGACAAGGCCTTCCAGCTCTTCGACGAGCTCCGGGAGAAGGCCACCGTCTACGACGGCGTCGTGCACACCAGCTTCATGGAGGGCTACTGGAAGAAAGGCATGGACAAGGAGGCCATGGACAGCTACAGCTCCCTTCTTGACAAGAAGTTCAAGATGACGCCGGCCACCTGCAACGTGCTGCTCCAGACACTCTTCAGCCACGACAAGCACAAGGAGGCACACGAGCTGTGGGAGACCATGTTCGACAACCACAGCCCGCCCAGCTTCATCGGCGTCAACAGCGAGTCCTACACTGTCATGGTCAACCAGTGCTTCAAGGAGGGCAGGTTCCAGGACGCCATCGAAGTGTTCCACAGGCAGCCGAGCAAGACTGTGCAGATGGACGTCGCCTGCTTCAACAACATCATCGGGAAGCTCTGTGAGAACGGGATGCTAGCAGAGGCGGAGCAGCTTTTCGAGGAGATGGAGAGCAAGTCGGTGCTTCCAGACGTGTACACCTACACTTACCTCGTCGACTCGTGCTTCAAGGATGGCCGTGTGGATGACACCATGCAGTATTTCCACAAAATGGCGGACGGAAGGGAGCATGGGCCAAAGTTCAATATCGCTTTCTTCGATCGGATGTTTCAAGGGCTTACAGTAGCTGGCCGGATTGATGATGCCTTGAAGGTGTATGGAAGGATGCCTGACAAGGAGATTAAGCCATCCACGGCCACCTTTGAGATCCTGGTTAAGGCGTCCTGCAAGGAAGGGGAACTGGATAGAGCACGAGACCTGGTCAGGGACATGGCCAGAGGCGGTGTTGTCGCTCCTCCTGAGTTCCGTGAGTGTATTGTTGAGATTTTCAAGACTGCTGATCGCCAGGAAGAGATCGAGCAAGCTTTTGATGAAAAGCCAGTGCCACCACCTCCTTCGCCAAGGCCAGAGTATCGCCCTCGGAGTCTACCTGGATTTGCATCTAATCAGATGCCGGGTAGCTACGCACCTAACCAAGGCAAACTGGGCTATGGTTCTCCTCAACCATTTCATCATGGCAATGCTGTACCTCAAATCCTGCGACCTGAGGGGATGTCTTCTGAACCCCGTCAGCCTGCGTTTGGAAGCCAGCAAGTTCAAAAAACAGAAGTTGGTGCTTCTAATACATCACAATATGGGATTCCTTCTCCTCAAGGACCACCACCTGGGACGTCCCTGCCTCAAGGTCATCCGCCGGATTTTGGTTCCTCTCGCCCTTGGCAGCAAGCAGTTGGTGCTTCTCAAGTGCAACAACCTAAATTTAGCTCGGATTCACCGGTGCAGTCTGGATTTGGTACTCCTCAACCGCAACAATCAACGCATATCGCTCATCAGACTCAACATGCCGGGTTTGGCACACCTCGTCCATGGCAGACAGGGTTTGGCTCTCAGCAAGCGCAGCAGCCCGGGTATGGCTCTCAGCAAGCGCAGCAGCCCGGGTATGGCTCTCAGCAAGCGCAGCAGCCAGGGTATGGTTCTCACCAAACGCAGCAGTTCGGATATGGCTCTCAGCAAGCGCAGCAGCCAGGGTATGGCTCTCACCAAGAGCAGCAGCCCAGGTATGGCTCTCAGCAAGGTCAACAGCCAGGATATGGCTCTCAGCAAGTGCAACAACCAGGATATGTCTCTCACCAAACGCAGCAGCCCAGGTATGGCTCTCAGCAAGCGCAGCAGCCAGGATATGGCTCTCAGCAAGCGCAGCAGCCAGGTTATGGCTCTCAGCAAGCGCAGCAGCCAGGGTATGGCTCGCACCAAGCGCAACAGACTGGATATGGCTCGCATCAAGCGCAACAGCCTGGGTATAGCTACCAAGCCCAACAGCCAAAGTATGGCGCTCACCAAGCGGAACAGCCAGGATATGGTGCTTATCAAGCGCAACAGCCTGGGTATGGCGCTCATCAAGCACGACAGCCTGGGTATGGTGCACCTCAACGATCACAGCCACCTTTTGGTCTTCCTGAAGCACCACAATCTGGTGTTGGCAGTGCTCGGACTCTACCAACCTATGGCCATATAGGAAATCAGCATGATCAGTTTGGATCTCCTCCTCAGGGTGGACAAAAGGTTGACACTCAGCCAGCGCAGGACTCTGGTGCTCCTGAAGCACCACAATCTGGTTCGGGCATTGCTCAGAGTCTGCCAAACAGTGGCCACATTGGAAACCAACATGATCAGTTTGGATCGGGTGGAATAAAATTTAGCACCCAGTCACCTCAGGAGGACTTTGGTACCCAGGCATCACATGAAGTGGCTGTCAAGTATGCTGAGCGATACTAAAATGGCAACCTTGTCCTCAAAATCAAACATGGCCTAATTTGAGGAGCAGGTACTGCAAGCATGTTAGACAGTGCTCATTCCATTTCATTCCACGATGCCACACCCCCTTATTTTTGTTGTTTGTGCTTCTGTTTTAATGTACTTGTAGACCCCAATGATGATATTCGTGGTGTGCTGCTTGCAGGGCATTGTGAAACAATTATGTCGTATTTGTTTGGAGCAAGGTGCTGCATGGATGCAAATGTCTGTTAGCCGATCAAGAACAGCAGGAGTTAGGCGATCAAATGGGTTTGGCTGTAGTAATTTTGAGTACCATTTATTTGCCTCAGTTACATTTGGCTAACTTTGGTCTAGTATAGGCTTGTAATAATTAGGCATGATAATTCACATGCACTATGAGTTGATCTACTCGAATAGGATTGGAGGGCAACATAATTAATTGCTGATCCTAATGCCCTTTATTTTGTGGAATGGTTTATGGAAATGTAATGAACAACTCAGTAAGAGCAAATTTTGTTTATCTTAATCAGACAGATTCATCAGTAACTAAGAGATTGTGTTTGCATTTCTTGCTACTAATTATCCTGCTGTACTAACTGGTATCATCGATCATCCTGAAGTCCGTCCTGATTGATAAACAAGTCTGGATTGGATGGTAAAAAAATGCAGCAGGTCAGGTCAGGTCCTCACAAAGTATGTATGTACAACCCTCCTCCATAGCTGCTACACATACCCTTCCAACTTTGATAATAATTGGCAATGCCGGAGGGGAGCTTGCATTGTCTGTGTGCGCTTGGTGTCTTGGCCTGGCACCTGTATCAATGCTTGTATGTGGTTAGTTGCATCATAGCAGCAAACGTAGTAAACTAATCTCCCTGTCCTTTTTTTTGCAATGCATAGATGATGATGATGGTGATATCCAAGTAAGTAGAGTATGTTTGTGTTTGTGAAAGAAAAGAAAATTAATACATGTGTTTGTGAAGGGGAGCCTTGGCGCAGTGGTAAAGCTGCTGCCTTGTGACCATGAGGTCATGGGTTCAAGTCCTGGAAACAGCCTCTTACAGAAATGTAGGGAAAGGCTGCGTACTATAGACCCAAAGTGGTCGGACCCTTCCCTGGACCCTGCGCAAGCAGGAGCTACATGCACCAGGTTGCCCTTTTTTTTGTTGTTGGATGTTGGGGTTCAGTTCATACAAGGTATAATAAATTTTACGCACATGTAGAGTCGCGCAATGCTTCTTTAATTCTTCTGTTTTATTTATTTATCCGTGCACAAGAGTACGTACTAGGAAGTAAGGAAACAGAAGAAGGGCTCCCGTTGTTTGCCTGATGATTTGCTTACATAAGTGTCGTACAACAAGGTCCTGGAGCTCTTTTTCATTGGTAACGATGATTTGCTAGTAAACGTCACCAAAAAGGTCAGGTTTTGGCGGTGGACTAGAAATATATTGCTCTTCTTTCTTTCTAATGTGAATTAAACAAACAGTTAAACATGGCTACATACGGACGCATTCATTTCATTTTTATTTTTCCTGAAGCTTTCTGGTTTGCTAATTCACACAATCTATTCTGTTTCGCCTGAATCTGGGTAGTTAATTTGCTTCACTTAGTGTGTGTTGGTTGAAGAGGAAGAGTTGCCTGAACCCTGTGTTAGTGCCACACTACTGGACTGACAGAAGAAGCAGGAACTTTCTTGCTTCTGTCAGGCAACTAGGAGATGTCTGACTGAACGTTCTGGCTGGACAAACTAGGAGATGCCTGTCTGTCTGTCTGTTTGTTTGTAGACCACGTCACGTGGTAAAACTTTCTAGTGTCAACAAGAGGACTCTCTTGTTGTAACGATCGATGCATGTTTTAAATTTATTATTTGGAGAATCCATATAACCGCTAAAAGTTCTTTTTGATGACTCGCTGGAGATGATCAGTGCCTGGTGTGGATTGGCGGTGCTGACATGGCATTTTCGATGGTAACGTGTCTGTCAATTGCTGACATGGCTCACTTGGTTGGCGTGGCAGACTGACTAGTTGTGCAAACTGCAAAGAATCCAGCCAGCATCTTTCGAGAGCTGATGGTTGTAAATTAGGGTCAGGTCAGGTCAGTCAATAATTCCCATGAAAGCAACCATTCATGAAAACCAATAAGGTCTTACTAGATGAGTTTCAAAGCTAGCAACTTGACATTTATTACACCTTGTAATGTCACAGGTAGTGCTTCCAGAGGGATTGAAATGTCCGCAAGCGGTTGTTCCTTTTGAGACTGAGCAACATCTTGAGGTAATCATATCTTTCCATCAACTACCTCAAAAGGGAAATATTGCTCATACCGGGTTAATTATCTGAAATGAAAATTGTTCTGGCTTGATATCGTTTTCCCTTCATCGTGTTTAGTTCTGATGATGATATATGCCACTGAATGCAGACTAGCTATTCATACCTCGAGTTAACTTCTAGTCGATATCACAAATATGTAGTGGCATCGGATTAATCCAACAATTATGCTGCATATAAACATGCATGGATTGGTTAAATGTATCAACATGAATGGATTTATTTCTATTAGAAAAAATGTCAATGTGAATGGGCCTAATAATCAGATTATTATTTGAGTTCTAATTCCGCATTCCAGTTATGATTGGATTAAGCCCTGTTGGGGTACGTATTATAATATTGACATGCTTATTTTATTTGAATTTTGAATATGTAAGTAAAGATGTATCCTTAACTACCTGGCAATTGCATATACTTCGAATTTCGAAAAAGATATGTATTTTTAATCCACATATTATTTTCACTGCATATAGAACGGTATATTTGATTATTATTTTCCACCTAATTTGACCAAGCGGAATTAGATTTTCCACCTAACGGTACATTGCCATCGCTTCGCTGGCATGATTCCAATGCAAACATGAAAAGCCCCTTACCGTACATATAACGTATACATATATGTTCCAAACTTAGATGCTTATATACACGCACATACATTAATGAAGGCATCACAGACATCTTTGTAGTTGACGAGAACGTCTCCTTCAACTGAACAAGCATCATGGAAAAGAAAATGCAAGCACCAGTGTCAAGTCTAGAACTTGAACCCCTAGTGGGCTGGTTCTACCACAAGGTACTTAACCATCTAAGCTAGGCTTAGTTCGCATATTGTTGTATTTAGGACCCATAATATGGCTTCTCAAGTTGTAATAGCTCATCCCGTGCACACTTCTTGTGCTAGAGGTCCTGAGAGATTGCTTCTTATTTATCTATTTATCTGTCTTGCCATTATTATTCGTATTTTTATTTGTATTGTTTGGTCTATACTGTGCTCATTGGTCGCAGAGGTAAGCGAACAACGAAAAATGTTCCTAATTTCACGCTGGCCACCTATCACAAGAGAATAGGTGGAAAGTGCCCACGACATCGGGGATAATATGATGCCCGGCCCGGCCCGGCGAATCATGTTATCCATGCAATTTGCAGCTAACATTAGTCTGGTAGTGATCATATCAAGCAATGGATACAGCTATAGGACAACTCTGCACAAGATCTGCGTGGTAAACGATGCTGCATTGATCTGAATATCCCTGCACGTACTGAGTGCGGGCCTCCCCAGATGCATGAACCATGATGACAGATGGAGGTGCAACACTAAAGCTGACGCGTTTGGTGCCCCTCGTCGTGTATAAATGAGACCGCCGCATCTCTCCCAGAACTCACACCACTCTTCCACCACCAAAATCAAGCACTAGAGCTACCTACGTGGTTCAGATTCCAGAGAGCCAGCGTGTAGTGCACTCTGTTCACTTCGGCTAGCTTCACTTCCACCAACATGGCCAACTTCGCCGCCCAGCTCAAGGATAGGTTTTTCGGCCTCGTCGACCGCGTTGCCGGCTGTGGCCGCGCTGGGGTAAAGGAAGAGGCCGCCAAGTCGGCGCCGGCACCGGCTGTGCAGGAGGTAACGTTTACAGCTTTACATTTTACCCGGAAAAGACAATTCGACATTGTTTTCTACTGCACAATACTTAATGTTACAGTGCTGTAGCTAGAGAACTCACAGTGCTGCTATTACTCTTGCAGCACGCCGAGATTCGACCGAGAGGCCCCGGTGTGTCAGGAGGATCAGAGGCAGGAGTCAATTAGACACCGCGGGTGCTACATGTTAATTACCATCTGCTGATGTCCGGAGAGTTGTCGCTTCGCTCCAGATTTATGCATGTGGCTTCCCTTGTTCTGAAAGTTGAAACAAATGCGTTCCTTGCTGGTGTTCTGAATGCGTAAAGTGTGCTTGTGCGTGCGTGGGTGTGTTTTCAATGTTCAACAAGTTTATTTTTTTCATACCTCAAAAGTGGTAACCAAAGTATTAAGCTTAATGATTTCATTGTATCATGCATATTTGATGAAGCAATAATTTATTTGATCGAAATTTCACACGCTCTTCAAAAGTTATACATGTATCAGTTCACATACATGGACTTGAATGTTGCAGTAGTAGACAACCCCTCCCCCCCCCCCCTCCCCCACTCCTGAGCGTCCGGGGGAAACTTTAGCCACGAACACCAACT